TCACTTTATGTCCAGGGCTCAGGCTGTTTCCACAGGCAGCTCAGCATTTTACATGCCCCAGCTCATATACAGAGGAAAGCAGCTTTCTGAAGTCAAGACCAATAACCAGACCTCTGTATTTCTATTGAAATAGGAATGATGTAGGAAAAGATCAGTCTTTGTTTATTCAGGGCTGAGAAAAGATCCTGTTATGGCTGAGACATAAGGCAGCAGGATATATACATCTAAATGTAATGCTACTAAGGTGCTTGTAGAAGCTCAGAGCTGCCAAGCGTCCTGATTGCATTCTAGTGCCTAAACCAAACAGAGTGGAAAAGTGCCTCTGTGCTTTAGTGACCTTTCCCGGGGTCATGTTCTAGTCCCATTCATTTGAGGATTGAATCCTTTTTTTTTTCTTTCTTTCTTTCTCCCTTCAGCAAATGTTCAAATGTTACTGTTCATTGCAAGCCTTGGATGAATCCTTCCCAAAGCCCTCTGCAGCACCCCCACCTCTCTGCTCCCTGTCTGCTGACGCTGACCTGCTACATACGTTATTTTGTATGAACTCTCAAACAGTGCCAGTTTCAGGCTGCCTGCTGATCTGCTGATGTTCACCGAGAGGAAAAAAAAAAAAAAAGCCGTAATAGTCACAAGAGCCTGAGTAAATATAGTGGAACTATTGCTCTTGCAAGATGGGATTCTCATGTTCTCAGCCCAGTTTGCTTATTGACTCGTTGGGTGACCTTGGAGAAAGTGTACTAGAACAGGGATTGACTTCATCCAGCTAGTGACTAACTCATCTCAGCCTTGTACGGGTAAAAAAAGGGCTTCTGTGTCAAAGAGATACACCCCCCACACCACCTCCCCAGTCCTATTCAGCTATTTTTACTGTTCATTGGGCTTTACTCTGAGTTTTCTTTGAAGAAAACAATGCCATCTTTTATGGATGAGAGGAGCAGAGTTTGTCAGAACACAGTGATATAAGAGAGAGGTTTCCATCTGCCAAAGATTCAATCCAACATTGATGGGAAAATCTAAAAGCAGCTCCTCCAAATGTTACTGATTCATGTTGTAATATTATTTGAAAACAGAAGTATCTGCATGTTCGTCTCTCTGCATGTTCATAAAGGACTACCCTGAAAGGCTCACATCTCTTAGCCTTGATTATGAAAGAAATATCTAGTAGCTCTTTTCTGTGCTATATTTTGATAGTGAGCTTAGAGAGTGTTTGCATTGGAAAAATGCCCAGAGAACATTTTATTGGTCACATTCAATTTTAAAATGGTTTATATCTCCCCAAACCCCAGGTTTACAGTATTTAATATTACTAATGGGATGGTAAGATTGCCAAGCATTTATCAGCATAGAGATATCAGAATGGAAATAGTAAAATGACACATTAATCTTTGAGCTCTCAATATGTCGCCACAGAAACACCCGCTGTCCATTATCCAGCTGTTATGAAAATACCAAGTTCTTAATAACAGACACTTTGGAAGAGAGGTACAAGTGCCGGGGAATGAATATTGCAGTTGGCTTAAGCCTTCCTTTTCTTGCTCATCTTCAGTCACAACCAGTTTGGTCTCACAGGCAGCACTGCCTGCCTCCCATGAAGATAGGTCATTGCCAGGCTATATTTAAAAGGGGAAGACAAGAGACAGTTTGTATTTATTTATTTATTTATTTATTTTTTGGAATATAGCCACACTAAGTACTCCTACACAGGGCATTTGGTCTGTAATGACAGCAGAGCTCCCACTGGCTTCAGCTGGCAGTAGATGAAACTCTCAGGGACCTGACATTTGCACACAGTGGTTAGAGCTTTAAAGGTGGGCAGGGGACAAAGTCTCAGTCTGCCTGTTGGAAGGGCTGTGATTTTGCAGCTAACACCACTTCTAGGCTTGGGTGTCCCCCCCTGACTATACTCATAGGTCCTGACTATACTCATAGCCTAGTCTCTAAGGTATGAATGTGAAACTGCTGCATTCAAAATTTCTGGTGGCACATCTTTATCTGATGAGAAGGGAGCTAGCATCAGCAGCATTTTCAGCTGAGCCTGTATGAACCTAGATCCTTCTGCCTGCTCAAGCTGCTTCCTGCAGGCTTTATTGGGTAAATAAAGTTTAGTTAACTGGTACCTCATTAAAAAGCCTTCTTACGTCTGGATGGTAGAAGAACTGGAACTGAATAATGCAAGCGTGAAGGTGCTTTTCCCCTTTACTACTAGCAAAACTGATTGGTCTCTGTAGTAAGCAAATCCAAAGAGAATTTTCTCCCTTATGACTGGGGAAAAAAACTTTGTCTGGCACTAGATCTTTTTGGATATATCGGTTGGTAATCTTTCCGTAGAAAGAGGGCCTCTAGCACATTTTCTGGCATACTAAGGAACAGGCAATCCAGTGTAGTAGGTTCAGGTCTTTTTGGCTCAGTTTACTCCTTCAAATCTGTGTTTAGTGAAGGAGAAGAAACAACTGTTCCCAAACTAGGGTCAAACCCCTGTCCTTGCTTGATTAGGAACTGTGCTGGAAAGAGTAGTGCAGTGTGCTGGCGGGTGGCTCTGGGTTGGAGCAGCATCTCATGCACAGGGTATGGTATCAGTATTTCCCAGAAGCTCTTAACAAGCAGTAAAGTTGCTGCTCTATTGTCTTCATGCAAGTGGTGGTGATTTTATTTGTGGAATAGGCAACAGGGTAAAACAGAGATTCCCTCTTTTTATCCAAATATTTTCAGAAATAGAAAGCAAAGAAGGCCGTACCAGAGTTTTGTCTGCTTTAATATGCAGCCCCATTTTTTTTTTTTTTTTTGTGAGAAATGTGCACATGCACTTTCCCTGATGAACAAGGGATTTGATGTTAACTGGTACATATGCAAGCTTACAGTTCTTTGGCATGCCTTTGTAATAGCACTGTTGGCCCATCTCTTCCAAAATCAGATCCCACGTGCAAAAGTGTGTTTAAGTCAAACTTTCTCTATGAGACACTTATTTTAAGCTCCACAGAGGCTTTGCAGGTGTGTCAGAAATAACCAGAACTCACATAGCTGCAGGGAAAATAAAAAGCTCTGTTTATTCACTTAGTGATCTGGCTGCTTGTGTCATCCACAATGTCAGACAAAAAGTCAACACCTCTGTTTAACTCATGTTTCTACTTTTTATGGACCCGATATCCTTAAGTACAACTGATACCTGCTGTATATCTTACAAGGAGTCAGGCATGTCTGAAAATCACAGCAGCAGTTCTACAAGCGATCTGAGCATTTGTACAGTGCCTGTGCATTAACTTTACCACTCCGGGGCTATTCCAGACAAGCATGTGTACAGATAGTAATGATTCTTTGGGTGCATTCTAGAATGGAAAAAAGCCCCTTCTACCAACCTTGTAGATTCTTGGATGTGACTAGCCCAGAGCTTTTATTCAAGGATAAACACAGTGTCTGGTGATGACCTAGCAGAGCACACTGTGGGGGAAATCACTAATGCCCACACATTTGTTCTGTTGGGCACTGTGACCTAAGAATAAAAAGTCATCTGTGGTGATGCATGTGCACTTTGCAGGGATTAGCCCATCTGTATCTTTCCATTTTTTAATTTATTTTTATTTTTTATAAAATGCCAGCTTCATGAGTGTTTCAACACTCATGATGATTACTGTATTGTGCATCTGTTAAAACAAATGATGCAAAGAATTTCCGAAGTTCAAGCACTTTCCTCATTTATGAAAGCTCAAATCTAGAACACTTCTGGGAACTGAATGAAAATTTCCAAATTAAATTAGTATGAAAATTGAATTAGGAGCTGGTTTTTGTTGATGATGTTGTTGTGTTTTTTTTTTTTTTTTTTTTTTTTTTTTCATGTCTTCTAAGAAATGAGAATTAAATGTCCTACCACAGTAGGATTACACATAGTAGACAAGAAATAGTAATAATTCAGAGGTAGGTAAATAAAAGGCTTGATTTCTATTTATTTCTGGATGCACAAAATGAGTCAGTGCCTCATCTTCTCAGTGATAGGAATTGAGTTTGTTTTTTTGTTTTAGTACTGTGGATATGGTATCCACTAGGTAATCCACTCCAGTTGTATATATGTATTTATTTAATAGGGATTAAACTTCAATTCTAAGCTTACAGCCTTGTCTAGATCTGTCTGTAATGAAGGACCGGGCTGCTCTCACCATCTCTGTGGTCGGCCCAATTTGTTTTCCTGACCTGATCACCTAACATAAGCTAACTGCAGAGATTGACTGCAGCAAGGCGTCTATTTCAGCAGAGAGCTGGCCTAGGCAAGGAAAGTACTGCATACTGAGGTAGTGCATGGTTTGTGTTGCACTCCTGCTCTGCATTAACTCCCTATGTCAGTGTGCTCAGTGAGCAGATGGTATGGAGAACAACTCCACTCTGAAAATACCAAACACATCTGGCTTTGAAAGCGAAGGTCTTTCCTTGTGTTGGCAACTGCAGGGCTTCAGTAGTGCTGATTTTTCTTGGTAAGAAAAAAAGTTATTGTCCCCCACCACAGTACTCTAGAGCAAAATTTTAGTCATCCATCAGCTAACCATTATGGCAGGTGTGGCCTGAAGATCCCAGATTCTGTATCTGCTTGGCTGCTTTTGAAATCAAATTCCTAGTCCAGAAAATCCCCTAATTTCCCAGTCTTAGGAAAGTTTAAAATTGAAGATTGCTCCAACTCTTAAGGGAAGGCAGTCTCCCAGTGAGCTGAGAATGAGACCAAGCTGGGTTGGACAGGTTTGACGGAGCACCTTGCACACCTGCACAGAGGAAGTAATGTCAGCCACTGTAATTGCAGTTATATGATCCTCCCTAGTTAATACTGTCTTACAGAGGCTCAGACACAGCTGGATGAAAAGAGATTTTGGCTAGGGATATCATTTGAAACTTTAGGAACAGTTGCTGAATTAAAGGCATCCCCAAATACTTTGTTTTGCTCCGGTGAGTACAGTGCACCGGCACAATCATCAGAAGTAAATTCCATGTGTCCTTAACTTCTCCTCTTCACTTTCTATTTCATCCTTAGCTTTTGGCTTTCCTCTGCTTACCCACATCTATGTCTGTGGCAGCACTAGAAAAACTGCATGTTTGTGTCCGGAAAATGGTGGAACTGCAGCCTGAAGTATCTGAAGGTAAAACTTGCTCATTTGGGAAGCTAATGCTGTTTCACACTCCCTCCCCTTCCAATATAGTAGTGGAAAGTATATCTGGTGAAAGAAGCTTGACAAAAGAATTAATCATTGTCTTTCAGTATTCACTCTTCTGACCTATAAGTCCTAATTAAAGAGGATCCTGAAAATATTTTCTGTGGGAGTATAGTCTTAATAATGTGGATTTTCCACTTAGGTTCAGAAGTACATCTAGTGGCAGCAGGGACAAAGCTGAATAATAACAAATTTCTGGATCATGCCCTAATAAAGAACAAGTTTGGGAACAAGTTTGTGTTACATTTGGGCACATCTGAACTGATGTGTTGAGACTGTCATGGTACTCCCTTGTCTCTAATGAAACAGCTTTTCCAGTTCTCTTGGCAGAAGAAATATGTGAAGGATCTTAAGGCACAGTGTCTTAAGGATCTTAAGGAGCAGTGTCTGTGGCTTGGCTTCACCTGCTCAGAGGTGTCTCACTAACACAACTTTATTCTGCCCTGACAGTCAGAAGCATAGAAATTATAAGCAATATCTTATCAAGCAGCTTAAAAAGAAGACCAGGACTTTCAAGACCTAAATAGGATGCTGAATGGAGATTAGCCATGCTATCTCCAGCCTCACAGGCATTGCTGCAGATAATTTGTTCATCTGCATTTCCGAGCTTATGGCACACACATTTTTAATGGTCTAGGTTGCATTATGAACTGGACATCCGAACAGAAATGCAGACTGGCATGTTTAACAACCGCTTAGCACCAGACAGTCATGCCCCTGTTCCAGAAGGCACGCAGCCCTGTGGTTGGAGGTGGCCATGGTGTCTCTGCGGACCACCTCAGTAGCAGGCTGCCACGTGGGCAGAACAGGTGGTTGTGGGTGGCAGTATCACTTACCCACTGCTATTGGGATGCAGTCACCACACCACACAGTGAAGTGCTTTAGTGGCAGGTGTCTGCCCAAGATTATGATCCACACAGGCATGGGATTAGAGCAGATTGCTGGTCACAGCCAACTGAGGCCGTGAGCAATTGCTGCTCATATGAGGAAATAGGAATTTTCCTGTGTTAGGAAATAGGCTGCTGTATCTTGTATTTGGTATCTTTCACTTAGCACAGTGCAACAGAATGCAATAGCTAGTGATCAAGAAACTTAAGGAAATGCTTTTAACATAGTAATAAATACATATACTGCCAAGAGGACATACAAGGAATTACAGGGCACAGATTGCTCTGCGAATGTCTTCAAGCAAACAAAACCTGAAAATATTTTCCATATAAAATTCTTTAAAGGGAGAAAGGAACAGATTAAATACATCTTTCCTGCAGGATGGAGCACTGTTCCATATATTTCAGCATAGTGCAGCCTTCTGTTCACTGCAGATATAAAGGCAAAGTGGGTGGATGGGATATGGCAAGCTCTGGATCTGCACTGGGCAGGCGTAGATGTAGCCTGAGAGCAAGAGATGGTGGAAATACTTAGTGTTGCCTGATCCAGTGCAGCTCCTTGCTGGGTACATCAGCACTGTAATGTAACACAAACATGTGGACAGGTATATGTGAGGCCAAATCTGTTCACCTGACTTCTCAAAAGATATGGGTTTAGCAAACACTATCAGCTTGTAGACTCATCTTTCCACCTCCCAGAGTGCTGGGGACACTCTTTCGAGTCCTGTAAACATAACCTGTCTAGAGAAGGTCAATGGGAAAAGCTAACATTTAAGGATCAGCCTACACAGATTTGCTGTGAGCAGGGAATCAGTAACTACATTTCTCTTCATCTTGGATCTGAGGAAAAGTGACTGTTTCATTAGGAACCATGTGATAAGGCACAAAAAGTTCCCTTTAAATGAGGCTTAGGAGGTATGTGTACAAAACCGTGGAATAACTTTCATTATCTTTGAATAGTACAATACAGATTTCAGTTCACAGGTTTAACTTAATAATTTTCCATAATGAATTATAGAAGAACCACTTTGACAGGTAAATTCAACTTTGCTTTATTCCTTTTTTTTTTTTTTTTTTAAATAAAAAGATCAGCACTTAAATTGCTTTTCACAGGAGCTGCATTGTACAAGGGATTAAGAATCTCTGTCACATTATTTAATGCTATCAACTCTGTACTTTTAACTACCAGTTTCCAGTACATAGGCAATACCTTGCAGAATTCAGCTCAGAATAAGTCTTACCAGAGAATACAGCATATTGTTTCTGAACCTGAAATTTATGTGAATTTTTGCTACTTTGAGGAAACAGAAGTATGCTCAGCACCTTCCATTACTGAACATTAAAAAGTGTCTGGACAATTCTGTAATAAGTGTTTCAATACCACAGTCTTTCTCTGCTAGAGGTTAAAGATATCAAGTAAATTGCAGAACTGACCATAAGCATGTATTTATTTCATAGTGTCTTAAAAGAGATTGGTAACATACAATCATAGAATCATAGAATGGCTTGGGTTGGAAGGGACCTTAAAGATCATCTAACTCCAACCCACCTGCCATAGGCAGGGATGCCACCCACTAGATCAGGTTGGCCAGAGCCCCATCCAACCTGGCCTTTAACACCTCCAGGGATGGGCCATCTACAACCTTTTTGTGGCAGCCTGTGTATGTGCCTCACCACCCTGAATGAAGAAATAGAAAACAATAAATAGTAACACCTAACTAGTTTGCTTGTTTCCTTGCTTACTGCAAAAACTATTTCTAATGTACACTTACCTGAATTCATTTGTTCCTAAGGTCAACACACAGGTAGGAACAGTATGTCCATTAATGACACCTCTCAAACATATTTTCTGCTGTTGACTTTTGCCTCATCTGGATACTGTCTCTTTTATTAATGGAGATCCACAAGAGAAAAGCTCTTCAAAACCAGCAGTGGTCTAGCAGCCTCTCTTTCTATTGTAGGACTGCATGTCTGGTTTCTCCTGCTGGCACAGGTAAAGATCACAACAGGGTTGTATGCTACCGTTGGATAAATACTCTAAAAGCCAAGACAGTGACATGCAGGTGACAAAATTGCTCGACGTTCAACAAAGCTTCCATGGTTAAGCAAAAAGATTTTCTCTTATTTACTTGTGGTAGGGAGTACATATGAGGATAACTACAAAATGCAGAACATACGCTGGCATTTAAATGCTCTGATTAGATCTCTCTTTTAATTCTGGCCCAGGTGAGAAGCAGATCTGCTGCTATCTCAGTATTCATGTCTTAACAGCAGCAGAAATACACATAATGCACAGAAACCTGTCATGTTTTGCAAGAGTGGTGTTAATTTTGAAGGCTTTTGTGATTCCTGAGAACTTCCAGAAATGAAGCACTTCAGATTCCAAACTGCTGCCTTTGCTCTCCATTTATTATAGATGTGGAGGGCCAAATTTGGAACTGATGCAACTCTCCTGATTTTTTTGTGATGTGTCCGAGATAAACTTTGCCCTTTTAACTCTTGTTTTTCTTTCCAAGCTGTGTTGAAATACTTTATTTCTGTGTAGGTTTTTGTTACAAGGAAAACATACTTGCTCTGCACTTCTTCGTATCACCATTTTGATGTGCCAAACCCTTCTTTTCTCTCTGCAGGCAGTCTCTAGAGTGCCTGGAAGAGCGTAACAGCTCATTGACTTGCAATGTGATTAATCCTTGGATTAGTCAAAATATGATGCAAACAGATCCTGACCCAGTGCTGAATGTTGTTCTTGCCTGTGCATGCAGTGTTAGGTACCTTACAACTGTCTCGAATTGATCAGGACATCCGGATTTTGTAACCTCATTTTATAACTGTTCCTCTCTCTCTAATTCCATCCTGTGAAGTTCTGAGGATATGTAACAAGAAGCCATCCAGTTACTATTCCTTGCAGCTATCAGCCAGTGTCACCTGCTTCTTTGGCATCATCATGCAAGCATGCACTGTCACACTCCCTGCTGGAATCTCAGCTCGCGGGTTGAGATTCACACCATCACTCAGCCTGACGAGAGTGTTGACTCCTGGAGCCAGAGCTGTGTTTGGGAGCACATAAAAGCACCGGAGTCCCCTACGTCTTGGCAGGACTTCAAGGACTATCCCAACGAAGCGATCTTGACAGCATAGTTGTAAACTCCACAGGCCCCAAGGGCTCAAACACCATGATATTTATGCTACGGACTGGATTGCCAAGATAGTATTGCTGTTTTGCAGACATCAGTCTCTGGGTAAGAAGTAGCATTTCTCACACCTGTTAATTGGCATTTGAAAAAATTGAGACTGACAGAAGTGGGCAGCATGGCTGAGAAAGACACTGCATGCAGAGGCTGTATCCGGTGTTTCTTCTGTGCTCTGTTCAAAGGGACTTCAACTGCATGGGTACCACAAATATTTGTGAAAGCCAGTATTAACATAATGCATTATTGACATTCCTGATATATTTAGGACTGTGCTTCTACGGTCCTTTCAGTCTTTATTACAGCCTCAATCTATTAAAAAAAAAAAAAAAGTGTTTCAGAGATTTTAAATTAAAAACAGGTTTAGGAAGCAGCTAACTATATGATAAACTACTGTGAGATTTGTGAGATTTTAAGATTACATGCAAGCTTTCAAATTAAGCATAACCTAAGCAAAATACTTTTCTGAACTGTATCCTCAGTGGTAATACTACCTCTAAGTTGGCTTCTCCACAATGTTTCACCAGACTGATATGATCGTAGTAGTAAGCCCAGGTATCTTTGTGTTAGAAACAAATAACTAAGCATTAAAGCCAGAGAGGTGGAGTTGGATGCTTTTTGGCAGGCAGTGCTGCTGGCACTTCAGGTACTGCCAGGTAAGCAGAATTGCTGACTATTTCTTCTAAAACAACTATCACTGAAATTAGTTCATGAAGTTAGGTATTGACAGCTGATTTCAGACTGATCCTGTTGAATTAAATAGGACAATTATCACCTTTGAGAACTGCCTTCTAAGTTCATTTGTTGGTAAAAGCCCTTAAGATCTTCAGAAGGTATCTTTGCATTACTCAGCTGTGAACTCCAGTATCTGTTCCTGAGAACAGCAAGGGTTACATATAAAAAAAGTTGGATCATGGAGGGCATAATTCTGTGACCCATAAGATCCTTCTGTAAGCAGAAAAACAGAACACACAAAATCCTACTCATAATACTATTTTTCTAGCTTAAAGAACCTGATTTTTTTTTTTTTTTTTTTTTTTTTTTTTTTTTTTCTGAATAAACTCATTTTAATTTGGAACAATTCCATTCCTTCTGAACAAGTTATAATGAAAATACAGTCCATGTCGGTAATATGAGAATTTCAACCAACGGGAAATCAAACCCCAAACCATCTTGAAATTATTCAGTCCTATGTAAAATATCTGAAGTGCTCTCATCAAACAGTCAGCAGCAATTCATCAGATTCCTAGGAAAAAATCCCCTCTAATGAATGTAAGAAAAATGAGAACAAAGAGTAATATTTTTGTAAGATAGAAATAGCTGAAAGCAGACATCTTAAAACATTCCATAATAAAACTGCTCTGGTTTTCTACTAGTGTGTCTCTACTTTTAATGAGAGATGAGAAAACAGCAGTTTAGGCTAAACTCAGACCTGTTGTCATGCTTGGGCACCCCTCCATCACCGCTCTGACTTTTTGCTCTTTTATCTACGTTGTGCAGTGTCTACCTTTCCACCCTTCTCATATTCTGTGTATATATATATATATATATATATATATCCATGTATATATGTTTTTTTTTTTCTATGTCTCCCACCTCATTTAACCTTCCGTCTTTCAGAGTGACCCGCTCCAGCTTTTGAAAACGGCACAAACAGGAGGAAAACGTGCTCAGGAAGCGGGATTTGGGGACAATTCCTCGCTGCAGGACGAATGAGCCCGGCCGGCCGGGGACCCGTCCAGCCCCGGCGGGGACCGCGGGCCAGAGGCACCCTCTGGCGGCCGGCGGGGCACGGCCCCGATCTCGGCCGTGGGCTGCCTCCAGGCACGGCTTGCAACCGGCAGACACAGCCTCGAAGCTCTGCTGCCCTCTGGCTCGAGGGCTCAGAGCCTTAGGCCCCCCCCATCATAACCATGGGTGGGTGCAGAGCTGCTTGCAGGTCTCTTTCAGCAGCTTCAGTGTAATGGCTTTTGGTTGTCAAACTCATTTTAGGCTTCTTCGTTAAGTCCAGTACTTACCCTGCGTTATATAAGCGCCATGAAAAAATGTTGGCTGTGTTAGGGGCCAAATGCCTGACATCAGAATTTAAAGTGCAAAAACGTTTACATGATGTGAGCCTACTATTTCAGCTGATGCTATTTTAAACCTACAAATCCCTATTTATTGACTGAATATTCTTGCCACATACACTTGTGTAGATTTTTACAAAGGCGGGAAGTGCTAAGAGCCTCTGATCAAAGCTGTACGCAGTGCAACCCAAATTCTGAATGCTGGTTTGAATTTCTTAGGCAGCTCGTATCTTTAGAAATTGCTGCAGGTTTGCATTGAGCCAAAATTTCACACATTGAACACTGGAAATGTTGACCTCGATTGGGATATTTGCTCCTGGGCTTCTTTGTCTGGCAATAAGTCAACACGGAAGTTTTCAGCCTTTTCTGATATATGGGTCCTTTCACTTGTGACTTAAAGCCATTGGCAACAGTCCTGTTTTCCTTAGAGGTCTTTCAATGAACTGCAAGCCTGAACTCCTGCACTTGCTGTGATTGAAGTGATCTTATTAAACAGCCAGGCCTTGTTGCTCATCCAAATCATAAACCTCAACAGGTTACAAGTTTTGATATCTTAGTAGTGCACAGAACCACTTCTGTGATTCTATGATTCTACTTCTGTTTCTTCCAAGCCACTGTAAGAGAGCTGTTCTTTTCCATTCTTGCTGAAGCTTTGTTAGCTTGAAATGCCCTCTGCACAGTACTATAAGAAAGGACCTTGCTGTAGTTATTTGAATTCATCTCAGAGTTGAACATAAAATATTAGAAGGATTCCTTTAGCAGTGTTGAAATAGCATAAGTGGGCATATCCTATGCTTACCATGCATGTGATATTCCCAGCAACTGACTGACATACCTTCAAAAGATCAAATTCAGCCTTCCTTGCATGGTATAAGATAAAAATCTGGCCTAGGATTTAACTGTACCTGGTAATTAAGTTTAAAGAACAATAATGCCTCGCAAACCTCTCCAGGCCTACAGTAAGCATGCTGGAATCTTGGTTGCCATTTCTGCAAACTGTTTACAATTCACATACCTCTACAAATCCAGTCCTGATCTCAAATTGCTGCTCATAAACAACATAGCAGGGATTTGATGTATGAGGGCATGTTCTGAATTCCCCTTCCATAGCAGTAGCATGGCTAGCTTCTAGCATTAAAAAACCTCTTATGTCTCTTCTTGTTACAAGCAGTGCTCCATTAACTACTTGAATACATCTCGCGGCCAATTTTTTTATTTATTTTTATTTCTATTTTTTTTTGTGACTAGTGGCAAGAAGGCAGATATAACATTTTATTCCCTTCTGCAGCTGCTAGCTGTCTAAAAATGAATACTTGTCACAACTGGAGGCAGTGTAGCCTCTGTTAACCATCCCAGAATTTATCTGGGATGAGTCCACCAAAGCCAGATGTTGTTAAACTTCAAAGCATGGTACAAAAGTGATCCTTCAGGCAGTGTTCTTTATTAATTTTAAAGTATCAGTATTTCTTAATGAACCTCAGTAGTGCAATGATAATTAAAACTATCAGGTAAACTACTGTTTCATGTGCATGTGTGTTTCACTGTTAAGTTGGGTGGAAGTTCTTTGTAGGACATGTTCAGTAATGAAGGAATAAATTGTTTGTTTGCATTTACTTGAATTACACAAAATTAAGGGCTCTATCCCCAGTTACTAGCTGTTTCACAAGGGCACACAAATATGGTCCCAAGCCTGTCAATATTGAACAAGCATTTGGACAATGCTCCTTAATATGCAGTTTAACTCTTAGGTTACTCTGTGTGGATCCAGGATTTGGATTCAGTGATCCTCAAGAGTCCCTTCCAGCTCAGGATATTCTATGATGTTATGATGCGTTACCCCGGGGAACTCAAGAGTTTGCAGAAGTGAAGTTTGAGCTGGTTTTAAAAGGAGCTGCTTGGCCACTTTCCATCACCTATCAATTGCCATGGTCATCTAGAGACTTCCCAGACGACTGGAGACTTACCAATGTGACACCCACCTAAAAAAAGGGTCATAAGGAGGACTTGAGGAGCCTGTCAGACTGTTAGCCTGAATGCAAGTCCCGCCTCACCAACCTCATCTCCTTCTATGACCCAGTTACCCACCTGGTGGATGAGGGAAAGGCTGTTGATGTAGTCTGCCTAGACTTCAGCAAGGCCGTGGACATGGTCTCCCCCAGTATTCTCCCGGAGAAGCTGTCAGCCCATGTTTTGGACAGATACGCTCTTGTCTGGGTTAAAAACTGTCTGGATGGCTGGGACCAGAGGGAGATGGTGAACGGAATGGTGTTCCCCAGGGGTTGGTATTGGGGCCCATCCTCTTTAATATCTTTACTGATGATTTGGATGAAGGAATTGAATGTACCCTCAGTAAGTCTGCAGGCAACACCAAGTTGGGGAGAAGTGTTGATCTGCCAGAGGGTAGGAAGGCCCTGCAGAGGGACCTAGACAGACTGGAAGATAAGCAGAGGCCAATGGGATGAGGTTCAACATGGCTAAGTGATGGGTCCTGCACTTTGGTCACAACAACCCCGTGCAATGTTACAGACTTGGGGCAGGGTGTCTGGAAAGCTGTGCAGAGGAAAAGTCTCTGGGGGTGTTGGTTGATGCTCACCTGAACATGAGCAGGCAGTGTGCCCAGGTGGCCAAGAAGGCCAACGGCATCCTGGCTTGGATCAGGAACAGTGCAGCCAGCGAGGTGATCATTCCCCTGTACTCTGCTCTAGTGAGGCCGCACCTCAATTACTTCAGTTCAGTTTTGGGCCTCTCACTACCACAAAGATCTCGAGGCCCTGGAGCGTGTCGAGAGAAGCTAGTGAAGGGCCTGGAACACGAGTCCTAATTGGAGTGGCTGAGGGAACTGAGGTTGCTTAGCCTGGAGAAGAGGAGTCTCAGGGGAGACCTTGTTGCTTTCTACAACTGCCTGAAAGGAAAGTGTGGGGAGGTGGAGGTCAGCCTCTTCTTGGAGATAACTAGTGATAGGACTAGAGGGAATGGCCTCAAGTTGCACCAGGGGAGGTTCAGGTTGGAAATGAGGAGACATTTCTTCTCAGGAAGAGCAGTCAGACATTGGAACAGGTTGCCCAGGGAGGTGGTGGAGTCACAGTCTCTGGGGGTGTTTAAGGAAATTTGGATGTGGTCAACATTGGTAGTATCACAGAATCACAGAATCACAGAATTTCTAGGTTGGAAGAGACCTCAAGATCATCGAGTCCAACCTCTAACCTAACACTAACAGTCCCCACTAAACCATATCCCTAAGCTCTACATCTAAACGTCTTTTGAAGACTTCCAGGGATGGTGACTCCACCACCTCCCTGGGCAGCCCGTTCCAGTGCCTCACAACCCTTTCAGTAAAGAAATTCTTCCTAACATCTAACCTAAAACTCCCCTGGCGTAACTTTAGCCCATTCCCCCTCGTCCTGTCACCAGGCACATGGGAGAACAGGCCAACCCCCACCTCTCTACAGCCTCCTTTAATGTAGTAGGGTAATGGTTGGACCAGATGATCTTGGAGGTCTTTTCTAACCTTAATGATTCTATGATTCTGTGAAATATTCTAGAATGCTATGCTAGACCATAGTATATGTGTCCACAGAGATACTTGCTTGAGGATGACTGAAGGGGAGAAATGATTCTTTATGATTCTATGATTCTATGAATTGTGTTTGAAGACAGCTTTAGGGACAGGAGAAGTGGGATATACAAGACTGAAAGAAGAATTATGTAAGGTCAAAAATGGGAGCAGGTGTCTCTCATATTACCTTGTTCTCATTTACCTGTGTTTAACCTGAGGTGCTTTTCATGAGTTCACAGAAATCAGGGGAAAAGTTCCTGTCCCTAGGTAGGATTGTTCCCAGTGACCATGAATTTTATGACAAGTTATTTCTAAGAGACAAGTACTGGGAGCCTTAATGGGATGAGAGATTATGTACATCAAATATGTATTCAGTTAGGAATACCTTTCATAAATGTAGCCTGGATACCAGCTGTAAAAGCCCTTTGTCTTTGTCAGTGTTCTTAGCTTGTTATGTCTCCCAAAGGTGGCTTTTCTCTTGCCTGGGGCAACTGCTATGGATAGGGGACAATATAAAAGATTATGACAGAACAGACAGCACAGGCAGCTCACTGCAAAATGGCCTTTTTGTTATTTCTGGTTCACAAGAATTGTGCTGTAAAGACAGAAGTTTTTCATCTTCATTATTCTTTTCATGTTCATTTAAAATTGTTTTAACCTTTAATTGGTTAACTTTTTCAGTGGAACAAAATTGAGGTTTATGTTTGCACATCCTTGGGAAGTGCGTAATTAACCCTTCATGAGATATGTATATCTACTATTTGGGAAATACATTAGCAGGTCATACTTTGCTGGCACAGGAGCTGAGGAACAACAGACAAGTAAGTCTTAGTAAGTCTTACTTTAAAAATTCGTAGGAGCTGCATTTAAAGAGAAGAGAATTATGTGTATAAAGGATGTGTGTGCAGAGAAGGATAGGCATAACTTTACAAAAACTAAATAATGCTTCAGGAATGTGTTGGAACTCTTTGAAGAAGCTCTTGGTAATGTGATCATGTTAAATTCCTGCTGATTTCCAGAATACTTTTCACAAGGTTTCTCATAGAAGTGCCCTAGAAAACCCCAATCTGTGACAGAACAAATTAAAGTTTCTTCATAGATTAATAACTGACTATAGGTAGAAACAAAGAGTAGGAATAAAAGTCAGTTTTTAGTTTAGGGAAGTCACCACTGGAGTCCTCTGAGGATCTGCCCTAGGCCCTGTATATTTTGACATACTCATAAATGTTGTAGAAGAAGGGAATGAGAAGGGGGTGACAAAGTCTGCTTGTGATAATAAATTACAAAGGGCATTTGAAACTAGAAACAGATATGGAGGAATACTTGCCTTGCAGGAGGATCTCATGCTGGAGGGTACAATACCTAATGAAATCCAGTGCTGCCAAACATGAAATGATGCATATATGGAAAAAAGAAGGCAAAAAATACGGGCACAGTGATGGAATTAGTAGCAATTATTAACTCTCAGGAAAGAGATTCATCACCTTTCTGTAAAAATGTCAGCTCACTTTCTAGAGTCAATTATGCATAGAATAGTAAGAATTACAAGGAAAGAAAAATTATTCAAAAAAGGAAATAACTGTTATGCTACTACAGAAACCTGAACTGTATCCTAACCACTGTTTCCAGTTCAGAACTTCTGTCACTGACAAGAGTTAAAAGAACAAAAATAAAGTATTTCAAAGGGCAGCAAAGATGACCAAGGATTTGCAACAACATCTGTACAAGGTTGAACTACCCAGACAACTACTGTGCTGCCTGCAAATGTAGATACTTTAGAGAGGGAGAGGAATGAGATGACTATAAAACTATGAGAAGTACAGAGAAGGTATACAAGGAGATGGTCCACTTTTTTTTCATGATAATACCAGAACTGGGAGACATTAATGAATCAAGGAAGGTAGTGTCAGATTTGAAATTGAGAGGAGGTAGTTCTGAATGCTGAAAGTTAGTGTGGATTCAAGCATATGATAAAATACTGGAATAGAAGAAAATGAAAATTTTTCGTAACAATAATATTTTACTAAATAACTTATAAAATCTTCAAGAGCTGTTTGACACAAAGTAACATCTTTGCCATCGATGTTTCTGAGCCAGAATCTGCTAGAGGCAGGGAAAGTACTGTGGGAAGGCCTGTAACTCTTCAGGGGCTGTTGTTGGAGATGCTGAGTGGGGCAGATCCACAGTGTGACCTACAATAGCATACTGACATCCTTGTGGCAAAAAGAGGTAGCAATGGTAACAAGGAAAAGGTGAGCTCAGAGCATGGGCTATGAAAGATCCCACTAACATGCTGAAATTGTCAGCCCATGCAGACATCTGGGTAACAACATCGTGTAACAATAGACAAGATTATAGCTTGCAGAAGGAATGTATCATTAGTATTATCTCCTGGTTATTTTTTTCTTGTATTAGTGTATATCAGTGACCGAATATCCATGACAATAGCCCTTTTTTCCCACTAGATGTCACACAAAGCCCGGAATTGCAGTCATGCTGCTCAATTTGCACTTCTTTCAGATACAAAGCTTTAATAATTGTCTCTACAATGAAGAATTTTATTAAATATTAATGCCTTTTTTTTTTTTCATTTTTTTTTTCATGTATATGCTGATATTTGGGATAGTACCACATAGTATGCTTAATATTTATTTATCAATCTGGATTTCATTAGAATTTAGTGTTAGAAGCTGGAATTTCTTCAAGGATCCAATTCAAGCAGATTATCAATGTCTCACTGGGCCACAGTGGATATTACTGAACAAAACAGATTAGGAACTGGTGCTTCTCAGGCTGTAATGCAATTCAGTGCTGGGATTCTTTTCACAGTCAGTCACAACATGTTATTTTAAATGATGTTTTTGTTGTTGTTTGTTTGTTTTGGAGGGTTGTCTTTGTATGGAAGCCTTTTGCTTTCAGACTTTCAATTCTTCTCTCTAAACGTATATACGATCTAA